CATTACAACTTTTGTGTCTTTCTCTAAATTCAGCAGGAATATTAAAATACATAGATTAACAGAGAAGGTATTCAAAACTGAAAATGAGGATATATGCAACTAAATTATAATATAATTTGAATTTAGAATTTAGAAAAGTGAAATCAAGAATGACATGTTCTTTGTTCCCTTGTGGGAGAGTAAAATAAGAAATTAATACACTTTAAATTTAAAGTAGTCTAATTCAATATATAGGAGTAGAAATTATGCCTTTATCTTGGAACAATAGTCATCTCCAGCTCAGTTCATTATTTATAAATTTGATTATTGAATCAATAATTATTTAACTTTTCTCATCTCATGACGATGATATATTCAATTTATATGCACAAGGCTAGTTATTTTAGGAAACAATTTTGGTTGTGGCAAGTTGCATTTTTCTTCTAAGTGATTTAATTATGAGTTAGTACACATGTGATTTTTTCCTTTAGTGCAATGATGTTCACTTGTAATGTGCTTTGGTTTCGCTGAAATGATCATTTGCAGGTGCTCAGCAATCGAGGATATGATGGTGCGGCAGCTGATGTTTGGTCATGTGGAGTCATCCTATATGTTCTAATGGCTGGATATCTTCCTTTTGAGGAGGCAGACCTTCCAACACTGTACAGAAGGGTATTCTACCTTTCTCTTATAATCTTGAAGCAGATTTGTAAGAGCTAGAAAGAAGAGCAAAATGTGTAGGTAGTGTTGTAATAAAAAAGACAACTAGTGGAACACCATTTTTAACTACTTTGGAGCTTTATTTAATTTTTAACTCTTGTACTGATCCTGATTATAACACAGAAAAGTGAGTCTCTAAAAATAAGAAGAAACAAGGATATGATATTCATCTAGTAATTAAAATATTAATTATATCCTAAATAAATGACCTTAATAATTAGTATATATAATATAAAATCTATGCACAGTTTTGGTGGTGATAGTAAAATTGCCAAAATTGAAGAAAAATCTTTCTTTTCTGCATCATCCATGCTTTAGTCATTGTTTACATGTATTATATAATGAGAGGGTGACATGCATTGTTCTTATGTTCCTGCTTATTATCTAGTAGAACTTCCTTTAATGAAAACTTGTTCGGAACCTGATTATTGGGAAGGTAAATGTGAGAAATAAATTCTTCGGGACTGAATGTAGTTAAGAAGAGAGAGAATTTGAAATGGTGAGGCAGCAGTAGTGTGTGGTTTTAGAGGGAGTGAGGGGGCCGAGGAAGGGATTCTGTCTTGTATTGTTAATGATTATAGCCGAGTCTTGGGGCTGGGGAACAGGGTTCCCTATTCCTTTCATGGGGCAATAGTCCTGGACTCAGGGGTAAGCCAGACCTTCTGGTTCTTTCTCTAGATTTAAAAATCTAATTCCAGTGATAATAATCTCTCTGCTTCTGCTTTTCACTCATTCTCTATCAAAACTCAATTCTCTTGCCTTATTAGATACCATGAGGGACCTTTTGTGAGTGCGCTAAGTGTTCATTTTAGGAGCTTTCAGTGGTGTAGATTGATAACCAGCTTCTAACTTCTTGTTGATTTTTCTTTTTATTTAAACTTGTAGATCAATGCTGCAGAATTTGTTTGTCCATTCTGGTTTTCTGCTCACACAAAGTCATTCATACATAAAATTCTGGATCTTAATCCTAAAACAGTGAGTACAATTTTTCATTTGTTTCATTCTTAATTTATTTTAGGCTCTAGTACAAACATAAATGATACATGCATTATGATATAATATGAAGTGTATTTCATTGATTATCTTGACACATTTTGATAATTTCAAGTCTGTTTATTCCTACTACTTAATGCTAGTCTTTGTTTTTTGTTTTCCTTTTTATATTTTTTATTTAGGAAACATAAAAATCTCAAATAGCCAAAATTGAGACACTAATCAATGTTCTTCTCATTAAAGGATGTCACTTTCAGTTATGATCCGTTTTGTAGTCTTCTGGTATTTTTGACTTTTGATTTTTGCTGACGGTATAATAAATACATTTCTTATATACAGATTTTTGTGTTATGTATGTTTCTGCCCAAGTATATTATCTCTTGTCCTATTAATTATAGTTGTATAAGGATTTACACTTATTTGGGAAATTTTACACATGATTATTGGCAAATGCTTTTGAATTTAATAATATATTATTCTTAAATAACTCCTTTAAAATTATATAAATGCAGCGGGTGAAAATCAATGAAATAAGGAAAGATTCATGGTTCCAGAAAAACTATTTTCCTGTCAAACTCAGGGAAGATGAGCAAGTGAATTTGGATGATGTTCGGGCTGTTTTTGATGATATTGAGGTTTACTGTTACTTTTGGTTGTTTTGTTTAATTTATGCAAACGAAATTTGTTTTTGCAAATGCATGTGTTAATTCCTTTCTTACTTATCCATAGCTGCAAAGAAAATGTGAGTGTACAAATATGTGATTGGGGATGCCAATGGGACAGGGTGGGTGTGGTTTCAATATCTTCGTTCTTGTCCTTGAGTTCATACCTTATACTTATTCCCATTCCCCAATGTTCGGTGGGTATAGAGTTTTAGTAAATTATATTAATTAAGTTTAATTTGACATAAATTTAAAATAGAGTAAAAGTTACATGAATCTCTAGTAAATTCTAAAAAAGGAAATTAAGTTTTTAGAAATTTAAAACAAGAATGAGTACGGGGGTGGGGATGGATACGGGTACCGGACAAATAAATATATATACATCTCTATACCCAATTTAATAAATTGGGTATTATCTGTACCTTATCAAATCAAGTATTTTCCGTCAAAATTAGGACAGTTTTGGGTATTATCCACAGCTATAGATTTATTTGCCATCCCTATATGTGATATATGAATTAACAAGTGAAGTACATGAAAATGTGTTGAGAAAAAATTAAGACTATGAATGTGATATTGATACTATCAGGCTGGAAAATAGCAATATATACAATGTTGAAGTAGGTTTTAATTACTGTTGGAGGATAATAAGATATGTATTAATTAAAGTTATATGCTTGTGGATAATGAATTAGTTAGAAGGAAAATGAACTACCTCGGATTTTTTTTGTGATAGTTATCCAAAAGTAGCATGCATCTCATTCACTGATCTGGGATAGATTGGCAATTTTGCTGTTTTACAGGACCAATATGTTGCTGAACGTTCAGAAATTACTGATGGGGGTCCTTTGATAATGAATGCATTTGAGATGATTGCCTTATCACAAGGGTTGAATCTTTCACCGCTGTTTGATAGGCATGAGGTATTGTTTTAATTCCATATTCCTGTCTTACGATCTCATCTCATGGTTTCTTTGTGTCTGTCTGCCATGTAACTTTTTATACTTCTACCTACCTACCAAGGTAGGGATTAGAGGACATCTGATGTGAGGTTTGAATTGAAATGGTGCAAGTTGGTTCAGAGTCTATGTTTTTCGAGGTTCTCTGATGCATTGCCCCAATTGATATTCTTCTCATTTGTCGCTGTTCTAACAGGATCATGTAAAGCGGCAAACTCGTTTTGTCTCCCGTAAACCAGCAAAAGTTATAATTTCTTCTATTGAAGCTGTTGCAGAGTCAATGGGTCTTAAGGTCCATTCTCGCAATTACAAGGTATAACTCCACTTTTCTATTTTACAATATAAATGTTGAATGGATAACGCATAGGATGAAGATGCTTAAACTGATAATAAGTTAATAACTAACTGGTGTTGTGAATCGTACCAATGCATTTTTCACATAATTCTGAGCAGACTTACTTTCATTTATTTCTATTGTCATCTGATATCAATGCAATCTTTGTTGTTTGTAACTTCCACTGTTACTACTCTGCATTATCTATTATGCCATAGTAACCAATTTACATTTTAAATGAGAATTATTGTTTCAATAACTACATCCCTGAATAGGGATTGGTAATTCAAAATAGGGAGAGATTTTAGTACTTGATTCTGAAAAAGAAATGTATGGTCATATCTCACTTTTATTTTTATTTTTCTCCTATCAGTTCCCTAAAAGTAATTTTTCTTGTAGGTGAGGCTTGAAGGCGTTTCTGCAAATATGGTTGGGCAATTTGCAGTGGTCTTGGAGGTAATTTGTTTTCGCTTTTGTTGTGTTTATTATTTTTTATATCAAAACTTTGTTTCTGCTGGAGTCTTAATTAAAATCATCTTTGTATTTTGTTGAAAGGTGTTTGAAGTCGCACCATCCCTTTTCATGGTTGATGTTCGGAAGGCAGCTGGGGATATTTTTGACTACCACAAGGTTAGCTTCAATGTCTAAATATATCTGCATTTTGATTCCTTAAAATTCTTTCTAGCTATGCAATATTGCCATGGGAATCACCAAGATGAAATATTGCTATTGCTAAAAGGGAAAGTACCATAAGCTATAGAGCAGCTAAGTAACTTCTCATTTTTTAGCTGTAAGGTAGTTAAATAAGTTCGTCAAACATTTTAATTTGGTCAATTAAGTTTATAAGTTTGTTAAATAAGCTAGTTTCTAGCTTATTACTGTATTACATGCCACACTATATTTGGTGGCTTAATGTATTAATTCGATTGTGCTACCCAGCGTTTAATCCTATTGCCATAAGGTGTGTATTTACCCAACATTTGTAAATACAGCGCCATATGCACATGTATTTATATTTGCATGCGTATAAATTGATAGTAACATATATTTGTACTTTTGCAGTTTTACAAGAATTTTTGTGCCAAACTAGGAAACATTATTTGGAGACCGTCAGGGACTGTGCCGAATTCTAATTTGCTTAAGCAAATGACTATATGAACCAATTATTGCGGGTATGATGCAAATCTAATTAGAATTTAGAAGAGCACTGAAAGCTTCAGTTGGTCCCGAGTATACTAAAAACTGGCATGCTTTCTAGCTATCATAATGCAACATACACTGCGAATCGTATAGCGAACTGATGGAAAAAACCTCTTGCACAGTGCATCCTGTAACAATCTACCCCACAAAGGTTTAGAAAACGATCCATTATTTAGTTTGGACAGGATGTAGAGTACAAACAGAAACGATGATCTTGTTTTCTATCCCCAGTGCTGTCCGTAAGGAGCGTGTTTGGGATAGCTATTCAACTTCCCAAACACGTTTGTTTCAGATATGCTGATTTTGTGTATATATGTAAACTAAATCTTGTTTGCTTGCAATAAATAAAAGTTCTGTTCTTAAAATTTCTAAGATTGAGAATTTTGTACAAAAGTTTTATCATAAATTCGTGTATAAGTTTAATTCATTTAAAAATACAAATTACTTAATTTAATTTTCAATAAAATTAATTTTTAAAGTTAAAATTACTCAAAATTGAGTTTGTAAATGTTTCCTTCAACACGTATTGAAGTTGAATTGCCGTTGAACATTTTTTATTTTTAAATTATCATTTGCAGGTAAGCTGATAGTTACTTGCTCTGAATTGTCAGAATGTAAAATTAGTAGCGCCTGGGTCATTGTTACTGAGAAAAATATCCATGGGGTGGTTTAGGTGTTTGTCTTGGACCATACCCCCTTTCCCTTTGATTCATACCCCTTGTGGCATTTTTTGGAACGATTGCATAGACAAATATTAATATGGATATTTTCAACTACTAGAGTACTAGTGCACAGTAACCACAATACTATTTGTGGCGTCACTATCTAGTCTACATGAACTAATGCTTACATAAACAGCATTGGGACTTGGGATTAATAAGTGAGCACATCTACACACTTCATTGATGATTTAATCAGAAATAGATCGAAAAGAAAATCAAAATCATTATATCAGAACTCAAATAGAGCTACATGTAAGTAGCACTACTATCCTTTTATGAAAGGAAACTTAATTCATGTGTTACGAATTGAAGAAATTGAAAATAATTATATTCGGATTCTAATAAATTTCTTTTACTCATAATCCATCTGTGAATATTTTATTTTACTTAAATTTAGCTTTTTTACTCCTTCAAATATAACAAGTTTTATCTTAATGAATAAATAAACCAAAAACTAATAAAGGAATACATGTATATATATATATATGTGTGAGGAAAAATATAAAAGCTAAAATATAACTTTTAAAAGAAGTTATAACTAAATAAAAAATATAATATTATATTAACTCTTATATATTAAATTTGAATGACTATATTATGTGAGAAAGTTAAGATTATTTTTTGACAAGGTTTGAAATTTTTTTAACTACATCTCAAATTTAGTTTTCATTTATGATAACTATTTATGAATTAATTTTTTAATATTTTATAATAAATTATCAATAAATAGAAATAGTTTTATACTACAAATAAATTACTTATCATAAATTTAAAATATAATTTATGCTTAAAAATATTTATTTATTTAAATTTAAATTTAATTTATATATTAGAATATAATATTTATTTGTAAGTATAATTTATTGTAAATTTTAACTTTATATGATATTTATCCTGTGTAATATACATATTAAAGTATTAATTTACTAATTTAGAGAAAGTAATTCGATAGTCGATTAATTTTATAAAGGGAAAACCATTTTATTCCTCTATAAAAGAATTCTTCAGTTTTTTTTTTATAAAAAAAACAAAACAAAAATTTTGGACTCATCCGCGTCCACATAAATTTTGTAGTTGGCTGTCGGAATTCCGTAAGCCTTCTTCACTGAGAAGACTCACACTTGTCGGACGCAGGTCTTAAAAATTCTTTAACTTTCCTTAAATCATTTTTTTAATAGTTTTTTTTTTTTTATTTTTTTTATTTTTTTATAACCGACTAAACACAAGAGAAAGAAGTAATTGGACAAAAAACATCAGAAAATAATGCATCCCTCACAAGTTTCTGCAAACACCGAAAACGATTTTTCTACTCTAAAAAACATAAGAGCCCTAAATGATAAATAAAAACATGGATAGACAATACAGAAAAGGATTAAGAGTTAAAACTAAAACAATTATATGTATATGAACAAAAAAATTGATTATATGTATATGAAAAAAATATATATATATACTTAAAAGAATGCATTACTCCTCTTTTGACTTTTGGCAACCATAATTTGATTTTTTGCTGTTTTCACAAATCAACGTTTTTATATGTTATTGTGCAATAATACATATGCTATAGTGTAAGAGAATTTCAGCAACATCATTTTATTTACATTCTTTTTATGAAGTACTGTTTTGTTGGTAAGGACCAAGGAGTCCTGCTGCTTTGATTTATTTTGACCGAATTAATGGTGGCCAAGTTCTGTAGCGGGGCCAACCTTGTTTTGTTGCTGAAGCAGAAGCACAGACATGGCAGGGTTTTCCTTCTTCTCTTTGGATTAAGCTAACTATTTATGAAATTATATAAACTTTTTGCACCATGGCATCCCATAATTAAGCTGCTCCAACCAATGTTAACCACATGAACATGAACCAAATTTTGAACACATAATCAAGAAAAAAACTCATATATATAGTCAATTTAATATCGATTGAAGGTTGATAATTTTAGTTCATACTACACAATACACACATCAAGTACACTGAAAAAATTGCTCAAGCATAAACTATTGGCATGGTTCTATATATATTATCTTAGGCAGTGAGTGTCTACCATATCAACTTTCAGGGCTGAAAGAACTTGTTACCACATTTGCATTTCCATGACAGAAGATAGTATCCCTCGTCTCTTTGAGCAGTTGTTGCCTTGTGAATGCGACCAACCCTGTTGTGAGGAGAGATAACTAAAGCAGCCATGCAAGGCCTGCAACTCAAGCACTTGTTAACACACTTTGGAGGCCTTGACCCCAATACTAATAAGTTCCTTTGCTTCATCACACCCTTCAACCCTACTGTTCAACAAGTAGCCAAGTCAAGAACATAACCAAGCAATGAAATGAAATCATGACGCACCAATGTATATAAGATAAACCTTAATTAGAATTCCATCATCATGTTAACATAATGCATAGAAATATTTGGACACTCATGATGATGGTATGTTTTACCTGAATTAGAAGGAAATAACGTGAGAGAAATTATGAGAATCAGAGTCAGTGAAGTTTTTAGTCCATTGAGGTGTACTTTAGGCGAATCCATCAGTCTATTGCAAAAATAAAAAAGAAAAGAAATGAAAGAAGTTTGAAGATGGGGTTTTGGGAGAAAGAGACAGGAAGGAATGGCTATCTGCAATAATAGGGATGAAATGGGGTTTGCTTGCTATTGAATATCATTGATACAATACAATACAATGCATATAGGCATATAGCATCAATTTTTTTGGTGTTTGAAGTTTTTTAAGAGCTAGCAACAGGTGCTCTGACTCGAGGTTTTCAGCGTGAATGACTTGAGTCACAGTTTCTTTTCATCTTTTGCTGGCTGAATTGACTACCCTATGCTAACTTTTGAAATTATTGAAGTACTACACCATCTTTCCCTTGTCATCATACAAGGAGTGGCCATGAGATTTTGGTCATTTGCCCTTGCCTCTGCTACTCAATAATACTGTTACTAATGCTACTATTACTATTATATGATACCAGTATACAGTGTTTGCCTTTAGACAAGAAACAAATCCAAATTATAGTCAATTCAATTATTATTTGCTTGCGGGCCACTTCATTCAATGGAAGCCTTTGTTTGGCTTCATATACTTGTTACTATTTGTATGATTTCGGTGGCTCATTTTCTGCTTATGGGCAAGACTTCCGTTGGTTTGAATTGCCAATAGTCAACTCTATTTTTGAATTGTAAATCATATCAAATTATAGGGTCTAGAAATTAGAAATATGAAAATTATAATATTTAATGCAATGATTTTAAATTAAAAATTAAGAAAAAAAAACTTAGCCACAAGGCTCGCAAAATAAAATCATATAAACACTAAATTGCAACTAAATTTCGCTATCAAGTAATATAAATGCCAATAAGTAATCAAGTGAACTCAGTAGTCATAATTTCTTGGGTGGTTTTTCTACAAAATTAATGATCTCAGACAACATTTTTCTCCTTCTTTCATCTATTAGCAGCCACACAAGGTTAATAAACATTAAGAATGATAAAATCATAAGAAAGGCAAGAAAAGAATGATGTGATCAAATTAGGTTTAGTAAGCAAGTCACCGTATGAAACAGTTAATTGTTAAATTAGAAGGGTACATAATGTGTGTATGACTATGTCAAATAGGCAATAAAACAGTTACATAGGGTATATGAAATGAGTGTGGTTATGTCAATTCCCTGTTTTAAAAAAAACGGAATAATATATAGAATGTGTTGAACAAAATTTCTTTAAATACTTATTTAACTTTTTAATTTATTTGAAAGAATATGCAAAAGATTAAGTATATATACCGAAGTATATTTAATAATTAATAATTTGAAAGGTAAAAAGAAATAATCTTAACCTTCATTATAATATACGATTAAAATTGTGATCTTACTTATATATTGTCAAATTTTTATATAGAGAATTAATTAATGTAATTTATAAATTTATCAATTCCATTCTCATTGTACGTGTAAATAATATTTTTAAAAAAAAACTACTTGGATAATTTTTACATTTTGAAGAAATCAACAAACTGAGAAATATTCTTACTAATGATCGAAAATCATAAGCTTCAAACTAGTTCGAATTCCTTAATATTCTTGCGAATAAAATTAGAAGATTGAAACTACTTTGAACCCTAATATTCTTAAATTCTAACCAACTATACTACGAAACATTTATATAGGAACACAGAACAGTGTACGCTTAGAAGGCAGTGAAGGTACTGCTATGAATCACTGATAATTGATTGTGGTTCGTCAGAGATTAGATACCACTTGAAAATAAAGTCCTCATCAACAACGTCAACGGTGTAAAAGAACCAGTGGATCATATTTTATTTTTATTTGAAGTTGGATAACAACCTGCACCGCTTTGGCAGAGAGATATATATATGCAATGAATGAAGTATATTTATGTATTAGTATTAGATATTTAGATGAGAGATTCCACTGACTTGAAGGACCAGTGGTGTCGTTTCAATGTTTCTTTGTGCGCCATTCGTGTCAAGATTACCTCAAAATCTGCTGAATATATAATGCTGCTAATCTTCTTTAGCTTTCAAGGGCATTTATTATAACTTATATGGATAACCCTACTTTCTGCAACCTCAAGCATGTACATTTTTAACTTATTTTCGTTAGAGATAAATTCATAAAAGCATATACATGCATGCAGAATCTGATATTAATTTCTTAAATGCTTTTCAAATTGATTTGGTTTCACAGTTGGACCATTATTATCTCTTCATATTTTTATGTAATTATTCTCTCATACGATTCATCAACTTAGGTCGAAATTTAAAGCACCAGAGTTATGTGTTTGGTCAAATATGTTTTTTTTTTATTTTATTATTCTATATGCATTAAATTTGGAAGAAAAAAAAAAGACGATAAATTATAAATTCAATGCAAGAGTAATTTTCTCCTGTATTGTTACTGCACTCCTATATAGACACTTAGATAAAGTTGGGCTCCGAGTAATAAATAAGTGAATAGTAATTTTATTTCGAGATATGTTATTTTATTCTTACAAATCTTAGTTGGCCAAGAACTCGTGGACTTTTATCATCATTACCACTTTGTAATTTTTCCTTAACAAGGTTTGGTGTACTAATGAGCATTTTGATTATCACCCCTTTACCTTTTCTATCCTGTAGTGTTGTCGGGAGGGAGTTTGATCGTCTGTCCATTCATGCCTTAATTTATGTATTCGGACAAGTGGGGGTCAAATGTTTTTAATTTATGTATAGATTAATTTTATAATTTATTTCATTTTTCTTTATGTTCTTCTCCTATAATTTTTTTTCTTCAAGAATTTAACTAAACAGAGCAAAATCAACTCAGAAACTATTAGCTTATGTTCTTCTCCAAATCGAGACCTACATGCACATGTTTCCCACCTCAAAATGACACTGCTAGCCTGCATACACAACTTTCCCCTCTGGTTGAGACACAATTTTTTACACGTTTATCCTATGGAATCTATATCGTATTTTTTATTTTTTTATTTTATATATATATATGATCATGAATCGCTAAATTTTTAAGGAATCTATGATATTTGTTTAATTAATAATTTGTTTTGATTTTTTATTAATGATTTAAGATTTGGTTATTCATATTCTTCACAATGACTTCAATTGTCTAGTAAACAATTTTGAAAAAGAATATCCAATTGAATTAGACATATGAAATTGATCTTTAGACCACAAATAAGAATAATGTGTTGACTATATCCTAAATTTTTAGGTAAATTATTTAGTCTAAAAGAAGGAAACATTACCGAGGATTCAATCTTCTTGTTTATAGTTTGCATTATAAGTTACGAAAACACAATGTTTCAAATAAAGAACATGGAATTAATTGATTTAGACATAGCTATTAATCAATTAAGGTTTTTGCTAACAAACTGAAATCATAAATAATCAAGGCATGAGAATTTCAGATGTATCCAATTCAGTATGAGGCAAATATAAATTCTAACCTCCATGTCATTATGATATTCTATTTACTTCTCGTAGATTTTTTTTTAAAATTCTTTTAGCTTTACATATTTTCAACTCTCCACTTACCCATTGTTGCTTGGATAAATGTAATCCAATAATTGATGATTTGCTAAGTAATTTTTTTTTAATACTTGTTACTCTACCGATTGTGTGGCCTGTGTATTTGCAAAGTCTTTGACCAAAATTATTATAGTACCTAGTCAATACTTATAGTTAAATTTTTTACAGAAATTGGTCATCTACTGAACTAATATATATTTTATATTAATAACATAATTAAAAAAAATAATACACAATACTATATATTTTTTCTTTTTATCATACACAATACTCCTTTTCATCGAACTTTTAATGCACTTTTCTAATTTATTAGTTAAATATATGAATTATATACAAAAATCTGAATTTGTATTTTTTAACTAGACTTAAATATATAATTGTGCTATGAGATCTTAATTTACCGTCTATAATAGTTTACTAATCTTGCTTTGTTTTCATTAGAATATAATCGTGCTCTCATGTAAAAAAAAATCGTAAAATATATATAGTAAAAAAATTATTTCTATTATATAGTACACGTGTCACTCACTCTTCTACATACAGGATCGATATAGTTTGTTGTAAGTCAAATTTGTTCTTAATTAGAACACAAGAAAACTTGTTGTGTCTATCATTTTGAAAAGAGAAAAAATTGAAGAGATGTGAGGACGGAGCCACATGGCAAGAGGCAAAGTTATTGAAATAGTAACCCTGGCAGTGGGAAGGCACAGAGAGAGTGAGGATTTTAATCTGAAAAGTCCATTGCAGGTTCAGCATCTTTGCTTGCACTTGCCTTTTTTGAGTAGGACAAAGTCAGGAAAAGACTATGAGCAGTTGTATTGTAGCTGATAACACTTCCTGTACAAATATCCTTTTCTCCCACCAAACAAAGTTATGTGTTGTTGTACAATCATTTTCCCTCTCCTTCCACAATATATACTTAAAAATTATTTCTTTTCAAAGTGTAAAACATTATCAAAAATGAATTTTTTTTATTTATTAAAGTCTCTACACGTACAATTAATCAATATTCAGTATTCTATGTCAATGTGATTTTTTTTTCTTTCTGTTTTGTTGAATAATGTCAATATGATTATTGGTGCACCTTAATTTGTCCTTTTTATTTTTGAAAAGTTTTAACTTTTAAGCTAATTAAGACCCCTTTTATTAACAACCTTAATTTGTCCTTTTATCTTTTATAAAGCTTTAACTTTTAAGCAAATTAAGACCCGTTTTAACTATAGCATGATTCATCAACGAATGGGCAAGGCAACCCATTCTTGGAACGAAGGAAAGGGAACCCATCACTCTTTTTGTGTTTGATTTCAAGTTAAAGATCTACAAAATCACGTTCAATAAAAAATTACTTGTTAATTTGATGATCTAAAATGCACTTTTTTGGATTAAACAGAACTCGTTGACAAATTTAACGTGCTCTCTAGCTCCTAACTGCACTTACAATACAAGTCCCAACACTTGAGCTCCCCATGATCATGATTCATGCATGGAGCAGTGATGATGGTTTTCTCGTCATAGAGAAAAAAAGTGGCAATACGGTGTAATTTACTAATTAACAAAGGCTACTTCATCCAAACGAATGTACTCCTAAATGTAAAGGATTAACATTTGAAGAAACAAATTAGACGTCACAAATTGTTTTCATACCATCATTGCCTATGATAGCTTTCCATTTCGTTACATAACTTTCAAACGAGATTTTCATTTGCTATATGCCTCCAAAGAAATAACTAATGCGGGATGTGACTAGTCACAACCACAAAATTAGGACTCATTAACAGACGAATATCGTGTATTTCAGTGCACAAGTGTTGCAAAAGCATTGGAATATTGCAATGTTTAATCTAAAACTTGTTTTTATTTGCTAGAACGTTATTTTTTTTTTTTTTAGCTTACTTAACGAGGGAGGTAAGGGTTATCAACGGCTATTCACGGACAGATGACACATATTTAACATAGTCTTTATTTGATTTAAATTTTGGTTAAAAATATAGTATTTTTTTTAACTTCAAATAGATGCATGGAACAAAATTGAAAGAGTTACTCATTTTCACTTTCCAAAACACTTCTATCGCTAATCCATGCTTCTCTAAGGTAGCGTTGGTTTTCTATTCAGAAGTTTCAAATGAATGTTCATTTTAATGACACATAATGTTCATTTCAATGAAAATTTTGTTTTTTTTCCTACTATTCAGAAGCTTCAAATAAATTCTCATTTTAATGAGACATAAATGTTCATTTTAATGAAAATTTTGTTTTTTTACTATTCAGAAGTTTCAAATAAATGTTCATTTCAATGAAAATTTTATTTTATTTTTCTACAATTCAGGAGTTTCAATTAAATGTTCATTTGAATGACACATAAATGTTCATTTCAATGAAAATTTGTTTTTTCTCTACTATTCAGAAGTTTCAAATAAATGTTCATTTTAATGACACATAAATGTTTATTTCAATGAAAATTTTGTTTTCTTCTATTATTCAAAAGTTTCAAATAAATGTTCATTTTAATGACACATAAATGTTTATTTCAATGAAAATTTTGTTTTCTTCTATTATTCAAAAGTTTCAAATAAATGTTCATTTTAATGACACATAAATGTTTATTTCAATGAAAATTTTGTTTTCTTCTATTATTCAAAAGTTTCAAATAAATGTTCATTTTAATGACACATAAATGTTTATTTCAATGAAAATTTTGTTTTCTTCTATTATTCAAAAGTTTCAAATAAATGTTCATTTTAATGACACATAAATGTTTATATCAGTGAAAATTTTGTTTTTTTTCTTCCTACCATTCAGAAGTTTCAAATAAATGCTCATTTTAATGTCACATAAATGTTCATTTTAATTCAGGAGTATTGAACTTACTTTAAAATGCGTGCAAACAGAAAACCATACAATGAGTGTTTGTTTTAACGTTGAAAAAACTCGAGTGCCAGTTGAGCCTAATAATATAAGACTCATAAATTAACCTCAATGGACAGCAGAACATGTGCTAACTACACAACAAACATCCACTTCAACGGTGTTTCCGTCCATTAAGCGCGAATCCTCAATTCCGCTCAACGTGTATCAGAAAGTAAAAAAAACGCCTCAACCAAACACGCGTAATCATCGGTGTCTAAGTGAACTTAATGTAAATTTATACTCCAATTATTAACATAAGTGGAGTACTATGTAAATTTTATCATTATTTACTGAGAAAATATAATATAAAACAAAGAGTATCAAACATAATTATAAAAATAATTATAAAACAAAGAGTATCAAACATACTCCACAATGATAAGATATTGTTACTTTGGGTTTAAGCCCTCATAGTTTTGATTTTGATCATCACCCAAATAGCTTCTCTAACATTGAAGTATTTTCGTATTATATAAATTGTTATTTCTTGTCTTATTTTATCGATATAGAACTTGTTTATATCCCAACACCATCCTTAAAATTATTAAAAGTCAAATATGTAAAAATTAATTAACTTTAGATCAAAGCACGATTCGAGTTTTGAACAACCCTACCTACTATCTTTCCATGCCATCCGAATTCACTTCAAGAGTATAAAGTTTTCATTCACAACAGTAAAGAAAATACAATAACAACAAAACTGGCGCAACTGAAAATTGCATTTTTAATACTGATAAGCAAAGGTGGTCTGCAAAGTACAATTCTGAAGCAAGAGGAACCTACAAAACAAGAACTTGAACTAAAAGGGAAGAAAAAAAACAACCCAAAAGATGGGGTTGTTGTGGCAGACCAAATGAACACCCTGCCACCACCAAAGCTCTTGAATATGAGGTACTTGGCCTTAGAATAGCACAACACAACCACACTGATAAAACACAGGGAAAACAAGCTAAAGACTCTTCCACATCTAAGGCATGGTTGAGATCCTTGATTGACATAAAATGACAGAAGGCTTAAAAGACAGCTCAAGCCTAAGCAACATCATGGAAAATGAGACAGAGGCTAAAACATGTTATTTATTGTCAACTTCCAGCAGTACAAAATAAGCCCTAGCATAAACATGCACTATCTAGCAGTGAATACCATCAACCAAGACTTGGTAACTGTATTCTCAGGGGACCCTAGCCATGAAAGATGTGGCAAGGCAAAAGGGGTCGCAAGTTGGAACAAGCATTTCATGCTTGTGAAAAAAGAAATGGGTCATGAAGAAACAAGCCAAAGTTCCCTGGAAAACAACCAAGTCACCAAACTGCCACCAATCCACCCTTGATAGACATCAACCAAAATGTATGCTGAATGTGTGACCTGTACAGTTCTGTCTCCTTTCCTGGTTTAGCCAGTTTTATTTGGTTCTAATTTTCTATCATGATTAAGCCAGAACATCACATCTCCACAACTTTTCCACTAGCAACTCCATTGTACTGCTGCCAATTGAATTGCAGTTTTGAAGATTCAACCCAAGCAAGGTCTGGCCCAATGTTGTAAGGAAAGGCACACTCTTGTTTGATACATCAGAACAACCAGACAAGGAAAGCACTTGCAAACTAGGCAGATTGGCCCTAGAGAGGGCGGCGACACCAGCATCAGTGATTGCACACTTTGACACATCTAGATCATAAAGCACTAGGCAGTTGTTAGCAACTGCAACCAAGCTTGCATCAGTTATTTTCCAGCATCCATCAAGATTTAGCACTTCAAGTGTTCCACCATGTAGCTTGGCCAAGGCTGAAACTATGTTATCTGTCAAGTTCCAACAACCAGTAAGGTTTACATTGACAAGTCCAGCCTCGCAATTCTCCAAAAGAGGGAGAAGGCCAGCATCGGTTATGCCATAGAGTCCAGCCAGATTAAGATTCTTAAGTTGGGGACACAATTTTCCAATCATGGCCAGGCTAGCACTACTGAAACCAGGGCACTTCTGAATGGATAAAGTTCGAAGAGACTCGCAAGGAGAAAGCATAGATACTTCCCTATCGATATCTTTAACTCCTGCGCACTTCACCAGAGTGAGACATTTCAACTTGGTTTTGATGTTTGAAAGAGCATAAATAATCCCAGACTGGGTGAACCTGTTGCACTCCTCCAACTGCAAGCTCTCAAGACATACTACAGCTTTGGCAAATGCTACCAATCCACTGTCAGATACAAAACAACACCTGCGAAGGCACATCTGCTTCAGGTTGATGCAACCTTTACCTATGGCTTCCATGCTTGTATCAGTTACTCCTCTGCAGGAAGAAACAATAAGTGAAACCAGTTTCTGCAGACCTTGAGCAACCCCCATGACCCGGAACCCCCTTTCACTGACATTTTTTAGACCAGAGAGGACCAGATTTGTTATTGCCTTCCCATAATGGCAAATAACAGCTAGAGAGAAATCTGTAATGTTCAGGGTCTGAAGCTTAACCCTTGACAAGTTTGAAGCCAGAGCCACCACACTAGACACTCCATGATCCCCAACAAGAGGGCAATCCTTGATAGAGATTGACTGCAGTTTGGAGCAAAACCTTGCAATAGCTTGCAAGCCCTCATTTCCAATATTTGGGCATGATTCAATATTCAAGGTGGTCAAGTTGGGGCAGCCTTCAGCTATTGCAATCAAACCCTTGTTGCTGATTGAGGAGCACTGACATAGGTCAAGCTTCTCCAACATATGACACCCTTTTGCTATCTCAGCCAGACCCTCATCCCCAATGGAAGATACATTCCACAAAGAAAGTGATCTGAGAGAAGGGCAACCATGTGCAACTGCAGAGAGGCCACAGTTTGTGACACCACGCACAGGATTGCTTCCTCTGATACAAAGCTTCCCTAGTCCCCCACGGCTACTAGTTCCAACTGCAATTGCAGCAAGCCTCACATCAGTGGCTTTCCTCCCATCCAGACACCTTGTAAGGTAGCCATCATCTTCAATGATATCTTGAGTCTCATCTGAAGAAACCGTTTCAGTTTCAGCAACAGAGGAAGTAGTGCTCTCAATTTCATCTTTGCAGATAGTGCTCATAAGCATAAGCCACCGTTTAGATACACAGGCACATGAGCTTCTCTCTTTGCCACCAGGGAGGCGTCTGAATATTTCAAAGAGTAATTCATCTGGAAGAACCTGAATAGCAGGGTCTTGATATTGCTGAGCCTCCATAGCTTCAAAGATCGTGCGTGGTCGCTTGGTAGGAGGAGGGTAGTACACATCCAAATTGGAGCCAATAGCGTATATGCGACCCAACTCCATTGGATTGGGGCAAAAAGAACCCGCAGGATACAGTTCATCATCACCTGAAAAAACCATCCACAAAATTTAAAATCAACCCAACAAAAAAATAGTGCTTTGTTCAACATTAACATGATAGGATATCTCATAACCAAAACTCAACATTCATCTCATATCACTTATACAGGATTTTACTAGTTTAGCTTTCAATAGAATATGATTTCCACATGCATGCTCATTCCACCAAAGAAAAACAAAAGGCAAATATTTCCTTCAGAGAAAAGAAAAAACTCAGTTGTAAAGATATCCTGATCGGTGGAAGATCAAACAAGCTCTAAGAAAACAGTTTCTAAGCATCCAAAACAACAATACACATGAAAAAAAACATTTTTTTTTTAGGGATTTTCGTAACCATTCAAATCAAAGTTATCAAACCCTGAAGTCTATAAGAGACCAACAACCAAACAGCATCATCACAAATATATATACAAAAAAAAAAAAAAGGAAAAGCCATGAAGCTTACCAGTATAATTGACAAGGGCAGGCATGAGCACTGATGGAGGGTGGAGAAGGAAGAGAATCTTGGTGGAAGAAGGTGAAACCCCTTAGGAAATGAGAGAAGAGGAAAAAAGGAGATTAGAGAGAAAAGGGTGAAGAGCATTTGAGAGTGTAAACCCCACGGAGCAGGGCAAAAAAAGAGAGAAGCTTTGAAATGGATGAAGGGGTTGGGGGGGAATGTATGTTTATACTATGTGTTAGAGTCTTATATTTTATTTTTATTTTTTTGGGTGAAAGTTAGAGTCTTATATTGGAAAAGAGAGAAAGGAAGAAAGAAATATAGGTGTCGTCCAGAGACAAAACCACGCCACAGGTGCATTGCTACTGCACAATTCAGTGTGCAATGAATCCTTCCCCAAAACCGGCTATTCCCCACACACACAAATACAAACTCTCTCTCTTAGTCCAACCAAACCAACCACCTCAGCATTTGTAAATTCCAAGTACCACTACCACGTACACCCTCTCATTCTCTCTCTTCTTTTCATTTTTTATTTAATCCAACTTGTGTATTTGAACCCAACTCATGTACTTGAACCCAACTCATGCGTGAACTTTGAGGATGATACTATGGATGGTACACTAACATGGGTCTTATGTTGCCCCTAGAAATGTCTTTTTTTTTTTTTATTTCATTAATTTTTGACACAATTGTTAGCTTTATAAGGAATTTAGGAACATCATATTACAAACAATTATATAAAATACGTGCATTTGTTTGTGTTCTTTAATCACTCCAGGTTGAATTTCAATGGATAAAATTAAGAAATTAATAAACAAAATTTATTTACAAAATATGTTTATTTGGTAATTATTTACCGCCTGGAGATATCAGCTTTATATCCCTCATCCAAACCAAAAGATATCAGCTTTATATTTATATTTATTGGGGTACAAACTAAGCAATAATAAGGCGTATATAGACGGTTTTCTTTACCAACCTAATTTTTACATCTAAAACTATTAAATTAGCACAACTTAATAACTTAACCAAAATTAGATGAGTCACACTTAGAGTATATTATGACCCTTACCTTTTAGATAAACGACTTTTATTGAAAGAAAATTAATAGTTTCACTAGAATATAAATTGTACATTCAAGATATGAGAAACGCTAAATTGTTAAAAGTTTTTAAAATTACACTAAATTTAATTTAGAAGACGTTAGGTAAGGGTGATGTTTTTCGATATTCAAGAATCATATTATTGGAAATTACAATTTTTTGAGAATCATGATTTTTAAAAATAATTAAATATATTTGATTATTCATAAAAAAAAATTTAGGAATATTTATACATAATTTCTAGAAATTAAAGATTTTTATGTTTAGTTACAATAATATATTCCTAAATTTATAAATAATTTTTACAAAAATATCTTTTATTAAAATAAACTTATTATATGTATTTATTTACTTAAATCCTATTACAAATATAATATTCAACTATTTTTAAAAGTTAAAAATTTATTAAAATTATTTAAATAAAGAATCTAAAAAATAAATAAATAATACTATATTATAATTAGGAAGAATAAAAATATATTATTCTATTTCATTCAAATAAAAAAGTATTAACAAATATCATTAAAATTAGAAATAAAATAAATTTTAATAATATTATTGAAATCGATAAGATCAAAAAAATAATAAGATATAAGAAAGAGATAAATAGAAATATGAGAGGAAGAGAGAACAAAGGGGGAGAGAGAGTGAGAGTGAGAGTGAGAGTGATAGAGATAGAGACAGAGAGTGAGAAAGAGGAATAGAAGGAGGGAGAGAGGAAAAGAAAGTGAAAGAGAGAGAGAGAGAGAAAAGACGGAGAAAGAGAAATGCAAGAAGAGAGATAATTTTGTTTTAAAAGGGATAGTACGATTTTTTTATATACATAAAACTTTATCTCTAATTTAGAAAAGTTGGATTCTCACTCCATATAGGAATGTTTTTGTAGGAAAGTAGGACAAAAATGATTCCCAAGAAACTATATTTCTAAGAATTTTTTTTTACTTTTCAAATTTTGTTGAAATTTTTTTAGGTTAATTGTTATATCTTGTCTCTCACACACACATGTGCATGTGAAAAATAAATATTAAATCAAAGAAACTTCATTCAAATAGTCTTTTTTCATTTATACTTTTAAGAATATATTAGATTAAAAGGCAACAAAATTTATAAATGGCTTAAAATATTAATTAAATATATTATTTTCATTAATGTGTGTATTGTAATGATCCGATGAGTCCATACACAACTCAACAACTATAATAGGGGAAAGCATAAAACTAAATAACTAAGATTATTATGCAAACAGTTCCTAGATATACATGTACAATATATGTGTGTAGGAAACTAATCAACTAAAATAATAAATGTTCATCAATGGAACTATAATATTGATCTTCAACATACATACATTATTACAACAAATCCAAACTAAAAGTACAAAATCTTAATTGTTAGTCAAGCAACAACTACTCTCAGTTAGCACCAAAAGAACTCTGTCATCCACCAACATAGCTCTCAACACGTGCTCTTCCTATCATTGTCTTACTTTTGTACCAAATATGATCATCGTAGTCCAATAACGAGGAGACATGTAAGGATAACCTTACAAAAGACTATACTATAGAACTACTTAAGACAATTCATTAAGGACTCAACTATACAACACCTCAACTTAGCATATGAAATACTACAATTCTTTAACACAACATGTAATCAACATGATTACAACAAACTATTTCACAACACTTCAACATGTCAACATATATCAACCCCACAACTTAACAAAACAACATAATGTGTCGTCATTTCAACTAAGAAACCTTTTACAACATAAATGAACAGTCTAAGTGGCTTGATCCTACCAAACCAACTTAACGATGCAATCTTTTCAGGCTTGCTAGATCAATAACAAATTTGGATAAAAATCTACAATACCACATGATTTCTCAAATTTCGCCACTTAAATTATAAAAGTCCAATATTCTTGTCAAGATTAGGACAACTTGGGTGGGAGTCTATCACGACCTTAGCATGCATAACTAAGCCTATTATAAAACTAGTCTGTCAATTACCATTCAAATAATGCGCCCCTTCTAGTACTTAGTTAGGGATTTTGGCCCCCTATAACCTTGTGCATTACTCGATTTTTATTATTTTATACATATATGGCTTGACCTTGCCCCATACGAATCTATATTTAGTCACTTTATAATATGTATAGCTTGATTTGACCTATACATTATTTTATATTGGTCATTTTATAATCAGTAAGGCTCGATCTAACCCCCGTATTGTATCAACTAAGGTCCTAGAAAAGACTCAATGTAACAATGTTAATTTTAAGATTGTTTTATTCATTATGTGAATTTTGTTGTTTTGATGTCAATCATCGTTAAGAACTCTAGGCTAAGGGGACCCTTAGAGTTAGTTGATCTCTGAGTAGCAGAAAACTAGAGATGAGGGGAGTCAACTCAGGAAAGGTATAAAAAGAAAAATTTTAAAAGGAGACTCATAACTCGAGTTTTTCTAAATCTCTAGATAAGAGCTGGTGAACTGAAATTCTCTTCTTCTCCCTACCCTTCTAAAAAATCTCTCTTTCCTTTCTCTTGTAGCTGAAATTTGAAGTAGTGGGCTGGAATCTAAGCTTATGGAGGTGAAAGATTTTGAGTCAAGGTTTTCGTGTGAAGTTGCTTTTTCCTTTTTCTATCTTGTAGGTTTGGAGTCTACAAGAGGTAAAGGAAGTTTGTGTGTGTTCTATGGGAACCGCATGATGAAAATTTGTTGTTGATTACTCTATGGTTGGTTGTCATGGTTAAATTGATGAATAAAAGTAGTGGGTTTTGTTAAGTCTCAATTATACTTCTTTTTGGATGAGACTTATTGAACAATTCCACTCATCCTCTGAACCATTGCAATATAATTGTTCTCTTTTTGGTTCATTTTGTGTGCAGATATAACTAACCCAAATTTAGCTAACAATACCTTAATACACCTCATTTTTTGTGCAGGTATTGAGCTAGAGACTTGAGGATTGAAGACCCATAGGATTGGAAATCTAAGAAGCTAAGGAGCAGAGAAGAGGTTCTGCGTCGGGCGCAAGATGACCTGTGTCGGGCTTGAGCGAAATAAAGTATCTCACCTTTGTTATCTGCTAGATTAATTACCTTTTGCTTGAGGACAAGCAAGGTTCTAAGTTTGGGGGAGTTGTTAAGTCTCAATTATACTTCTTTTTGGATGAGACTTATTGACCAATTCCACTCATCCTCTGAACCATTGCAATATAATTGTTCTCTTTTTGGTTCATTTTGTGTGCAGATATAACTAACCCAAATTTAGCTAACAATACCTTAATACACCTCATTTTTTGTGCAGGTATTGAGCTAGAGACTTGAGGATTGAAGACCCATAGGATTGGAAATCTAAGAAGCTAAGGAGCAGAGAAGAGGTTCTGCGTCGGGCGCAAGATGACCTGTGTCGGGCTTGAGCGAAATAAAGTATCTCACCTCTGGAAGTCATATTCGCGCCGGGCGTAAATGGAATTGCGCCGGGAGCTCTCCTCCTCATTCACACATTGGGCGCGTTTTAGGAGCTGTGGAAGGGATTCCCGGAGCTTGGAGCTGTTCGTGTGTGGGTCTTTCCTTCGGTTCTTCATTTCTCCTTTCATCTCTATTTTGTATTTACCCTCATTGTTTTGAGTGTTTCTACCCATTTTTTGTGGGGTTAGATGTAACCAACGAATTCTAATGTAATCCTTACGTTTTCAATGATATATATATATATATATGTTGTTCATTCATTGTTGTGTTGTTTGTATTCTTAATGCTTGCTTTGGATTAATTCTCCTTTGCATGATATAGGTTCCATTGGGTGTTGGAAAATAACCATTGAAACTAGCTCTGAAACAAATGCCTAGTGGGAAATGTATCTAGGAATGGAGCTTAGCCCATTAGTAGTCTTAAACCCTAGCCCGTAATGCGGGTGTAGATATTGGGTACTCAAGGGATTAATATTCAATATCCGCACCTAGGCTCTTGCTCTAAGGGATTAGGTTTGAGTAAACTTATGGGTTGACTAAGCAATGTATGTAACAAGAGATTAATGATTCATTAGTGTAACGTTCGGTGAAATCTGACCCCACAATCTCACAAAAACCATTATACCATTTCTACCCTTTTCCACTCACAATCAAATATTTTTTAGCTTACATTCCAATAGTCATAACTTTTGATTCAACTTGCATGACAAACTATGAATTTGGAATTATTCTTTAATCACGAATAGTCAATAAATGCTTATGTTACCTTCTAATCCCTGTGGATACGATAATTTTACTACTTGAACGGCCGGTATACTTGCCGTGTTTGAGACCGTTGATAGAATTAAACTGATTTACAATTATAACAAAAGTATTTCAACGAAAAATCTCAACAGGTTTTCAGGTTTTT